CAGAATCACCAAACGGTATTCGCTGAAGGTCATACAGGTTTACGCACCAACCTCGGCACACCCCGATGAGGAGGTGGAGGAAATGTATGAGGATATCTCTAGAGCCATGCATTCCTCCAAAACCCAATATACGGTGTTAATGGGAGACTTCAATGCAAAACTAGGCACAAGAGAGAACGGTGAGCTGAAAGTAGGGAAATTTGGAATAGGGCAACGGAACCCAAGGGGCCAGCAGCTGGCCGACTTCATGGAGAAAAAGGGACTCTTTATGATGAACTCTTTCTTCCAGAAGCGGCCCCACAGGAAGTGGACCTGGTCGAGCCCCGACGGTTCCACAAAAAATGAGATTGACTTCATTATGACGACCAGACGACAACTGTTCAGTGATGTCTCCGTGATCGCGAGGGTGAAAACTGGTAGCGATCACCGAATGGTTAGAGGCACACTGAACCTCAACGTTAAGTTGGAGAGGTCTCGTCTAATGAAGTCAACGCTCCGTCCCCCTCGTGCTCTGTTTCAAAGTCCCGAAACCTTTCAGCTCGAGTTACAAAACCGTTTTCAGTGCCTAGAAGACTGCAATGAAGTGGACGATATGAATGACAAGCTCGTGGAAACTGTCCATGCGGTCGGAGCTAAGTTCTGCAAGACCCGCCGCAGAAGAACACAAAAACTCTCCGATCACACTCTTAATCTCATGGCTGTTAGACGGGAGATGAAGCTACATTCTTCAACAGACTTGACAGCATACAGGCATCTGAACAGACAGATCTCCAAATGCATGCGGCGGGACTTACGCAACTTCAATACAGCTCGTATTGAAGAAGCGATCGAGCGGAACCAAGGCTCCAAAGTCTTTGCCAGAGATCTGTCTGCCAGAAAGAGCCAACTGTCAAAGCTGAAGACAGAATGTGGCAGCATCGTTTCCGGGACACCTGAGATTTTGAGTGAGATTGAGAGGTTCTATGGGCAGCTGTACACATCATCGTTGGAGCCACACGCAAGTGTGAGTAACGATCCAAGAGCGAGTCTCATCCGACACTATTCCGAAGATATCCCGGATGTCAGTCTGAGCGAGATTAGGATGGCTCTCCAGCACCTTAAAAACGGTAAGGCCCCAGGCGAGGATGGAATTACAGCGGAGCTTTTGAAAGCGGGTGGAAGACCGGTACTTGAAGTCCTTCAGAAGCTCTTTAATTCCGTCCTCCATGGTGGCATTACACCGGAGGCGTGGAGCAGAAGTGCGGTGGTCTTGTTCTTCAAGAAAGGTGACAACGTTCTCTTGAAGAACTACAGACCGATTTCCCTTCTGAGCCGCGTCTACGTGCTGTTTTCGAGAGTCATTACGAATCGTCTCGCGCGCAGACTTGACGACTTCCAGCCTCCCGAACAAGCCGGTTTCCGAAAGGGCTTTAGCACCATAGACCACATACATACCCTTCGGCAAGTTGTACAGAAGTCCGAAGAGTACAATTTGCCACTATGTCTGGCGTATGTGGACTATGAGAAAGCCTTTGATTCCGTCGAAATTTGGGCGGTGCTGCAGTCCCTTCAGCGGTGCCAAGTTGACTGTCGGTATATCGAAGTGTTGAAGTGCTTGTACAGTAGGGCTACGATGGCTATCCGAGTACAGAACCAGAGTACGAAACCTATCCAATTGCAGACAGGTGTAAGACAGGGTGACGTCATATCCCCGAAACTCTTCACCGCTGCATTGGAAGACGTTTTCAAGCTTCTGGACTGGAAAGGATACGGTATCAACATCAATGGCGAGTACATCACTCACCTTCGATTTGCCGACGATATAGTCCTTATGGCAGAATCGCTGGAGGACCTAAGCACTATGCTCAATGACCTCAATAGTGTTTCCCAACGGATAGGTCTTAAGATGAACATGGACAAAACAAAGATCATGTTTAATGTCCATGTCACACCTATGCCGATAGTTGTTGGGAACACTAAGCTCGAAGTTGTTGACGAGTATGTTTACCTGGGACAAATAGTCCGACTGGGTAAGTCCAACTTCGACCGAGAGGTCAATCGACGGATTCAACTCGGCTGGGCAGCGTTCGGGAAGCTACGACACATCTTCTCGTCAGACATACCTCAAAACCTTAAAACGAAATTGTACAACCAGTGCGTGTTGCCAGTGATGACTTACGGAACTGAGACGTGGTCCTTCACTGCTGGCCGTATGAGGAAGCTCAAGGTCGCTCAGCGAGCTATGGAGAGGGCTATGCTCGGAGTTTCTCTGCGTGATAAACTTAGGAATGAGGATATCCGCAGTAGAACCAGAGTGACCGACATAGCCCAACGGATTAGTAAGCTGAAGTGGCAGTGGGCCGGCCATATAGCTCGAAGAACCGACAACCGATGGGGAAGAAAGGTTCTCGAGTGGCAGCCTCGTACCGGTAGGCGAAGTGTAGGGCGTCCCCCCACGAGATGGAGTGACGACCTGGTAAGACATGCAGGAAGTCGATGGATGTAGGTGGCTCAGGACCGTGTTTTGTGGCATTCTTTGGGGGAGGCCTATGTTCAGCAGTGGACTTGTGAAGGGCTGTAATGATGATGATGATGATGAAGACCTATGTTTTTCACAACATAATGACATATCATTGTGTTACTGCGCCAACCGTTCCAACCACAGAAAAGAGGGTTGATAACTATCCCATTCCCACTTTTAGAACGGCCTATGCTATGAAATTTTATGATTTTCAGGTCCCATACTTATATAATAAGTTAAACAAGATAATAAGGCTAAGGAAACTTAACCAAAAACAAATAAAAGATTTGCTTTTGTCGTGGCTGAATGAACACGATTATGACAGCTGCGAAAATCTATTGAATGTAAATACTTAATAATTGATTAAAAATATATATTTTTTTTAGCTCTTACAGTCACTTTCACGCGTTAACGACACTACTTCACAACTTATAACACACACAAACACGAACATACACAAAACACATACATGCACCCACACATTTGTCATATTACTTAGTCAATACCACATATTATTATACATTTTTTAAATACTTTTTTTAATGTTTATCTTTAATTTAATTTAATAATTTATTTAAACTGTTTTTGACAATTTTAAATTAAATAAAGTAAAATATAATTAAGTATAATTAAATTAAATTGAATTTGATAATTAATGTTAATATTGTTTGTGCATAATGTATGGAAGGGACTAGCTCCTGACATACAGGATTCCTAGTTCAGGAGCTAGGGCTCAATCGGAACAAGGGTAACATTTATTTGAGTTCTAATAAATTTATTATTATTATTATTAATTCCCCTGGTATTTCCGTTGTTCATGGGCGGCGGTAGTCACTTCCATCAGGTGAGCCACATGCTCATTTGCCCCCATTTCTATAAAAAAAAAATACGATCACAAGTTTACACAAGCATAACACAAATAAAAGCGTCCATATCGCAAGAGATGTAAACGTACCTACTACTACTAGAAGCGTCAGTAGCCTAATGGTAGGGCGCGTCCGCGAACTCGAAAGGTCGTGGGTTCGAATCCACCATTCGACTACTGTCCACTTCTAACACAAGCATTTTAAGCTTACCAGAAGTGGTTAAAGGGAATATATATAATAATGACATTACTAGTATTTAAAAAAAAAGATTAGAAAACGAAAACAAAACAAAGCGTCTTTATCGCAGTACCATAATCTAATTACTAACCTAATTACACAAAAATTACTAAATAAAACAATAGGTAAGCGTATTTTCCGCGGACAAGTTCACAAAAATATTAGTCGACGTAATTATGCGCACTACTGTGAAGAAGTGTGTCAAGGACACGGATTGGGCTAGCACTAGAAAAACAAAAAAAATCATTTCGGTGCAGCGGGGCGCGCGTCACCTGCGCCGCTCGCTCGCCAACAAAGGGATGTCTCTTTCCTTCAATAGTATTGCTTATTCGTTTCAATTTCAATTATGCGATTTTATGATCCGTGACCCCGTCAAATGACCGCTGCACGACAGTTCTCTAAATACAGGTCCTACCTGGCAACTTAAAATGCACGCACCCTGAGGACTGACGAAAAGATCCTGGAACTGGAAGAAGAGATAGACAAGTTACGCTGGAATATTATAGGATTATCCGAGGATCCGAGGTCCGAAGAGAGGGGGAGGACATGGTAATCCTCGAATCCGGCAACTTGTTCTATCACCGGGAGGAGGTAGCGGCGGCGCGGAACGGTGAGCGGGGCACAGGAGGCGAAATATAATATGAAAATATTGCTTGATCAATCGAAAAAATATTTATATTCTATGATGTAATATATATTACATCTCAGTGTAAACGGTTCCATTTAAAAGTATGGTGAGCGATATTCATTATATATTATACATCATATCTCATTGTGAAAAACGACCTTTAGTCGGCCAATTTGTCCAAGGTAAACATACTTACCTATAACTTCGAGCGTAGTGTTCCCAACTACTACCGACATAGGTGTGAAATAGACGTTAGACACCTGTACTTGGATCTTTTCTATTGTAAGTCGGAATTGCCGTAATCACCTGACTTTTCTAAATTATGGAATAAGAGTGCCAAACGAGCACACAGCCCACCCGATGGTAAGTGGATGCTGCGGTCGTGCATAGACATCTACATATATCCTTGATTAAGGATCCAAGAGCAGATACGTTGTCACCCGTGAGGACTAAAATGGAATGCCTCGTTTCCAGTAAAAAAAATGGTTCCTACAGTCTCTACACTCACCTTATGAAACACGTCAGCATTGGGCTACTATTTTACGCTAGTATTCTGTGAAAGCGTGGTCGTACCCCGGTAGAGCCAACCTATTCGTGCTACAATTATAATATTATAGCTACAGCAAGGCTCTACTGCGAAAGATTGGTGGTCACTACGTCTCTTAGAAGTCCGCAAGACATTCATGTGTCTTAATAGAGATATGGATCCTCACACTAGCCCAATAACAACCCGAACAAAAAAGGCGAATGAAAACGATTATAAAATTTTAAGGTATGGTATATAATATATTTGTCAGTTAAATTTAGTACAAAATAAAGAAACCAAATACGCACCACACACATCATATAATATACATAAGCACATAAAATAACACATAACCCATTCGCTTCCAGGATTGAGTTTATAAAAATAAGTTTGCGTTACCACCTCCTGTAGCGACGAACACATTGACAAAATAGTAAGTATTTTTTTTACTAAGCCAATACTTGGCTACCTTTCCACCTGATCAACATGATCAAATGTAGCCAAGTATTAATAGCATATGAAGTCCGCTAATTCAGTGGAACAGAAGAGGCCAGTGCTCAGCCAATTGATATCCCTGGCTGCGATGGTTTAAAATACATACTATTATATTTATATGACATAATAATAAAAATAACCTTGATTAATAACTAAAAATGTAACATAGAAGGATTTTAATCGCTTTCTTACTAATCAAATAACTTAATGTCAAATCCACTGTGCAATTTACAATATCGTATATGTAATATACTCCAATCATACCCTAGCTATGAACAGATTACAAATACAATCCTTGCTGACAGAATATAAAAACCTTATGATTAATAACTTAAAAATTAACAATGAAATATTTGTAAAGCTTTCCTCTCCAAATAATTTGATGCCAAATCCACTGTGCAATTTACGTTATCTCTAGATATATAAAAATCTATTAAAATATCCCTGGATACTAAAATGTCAAAAAATATAAACCTTGTATGATAAAACAAAATAATTATAAGATTAATAACTAGAACATAAAACATAACCTTAAAATTAATAAAACATAATAAGTGCCTGTACTGATGAAGCATGTTACAGATGGCATTTTAACTAAAATAATTTAAAATGATTTGAAATTAGTTACAGATAAACTGTATACCCTCGTGCTCTGTTCCAAAGTCCCGAAACCTTTCAGCTCGAGTTACAAAACCGTTTTCAGTGCCTAGAAGACTGCAATGAAGTGGACGATATGAATGACAAGCTCGTGGAAACTGTCCATGCGGTCGGAGCTAAGTTCTGCAAGACCCGCCGCAGAAGAACACAAAAACTCTCCGATCACACTCTTAATCTCATGGCTGTTAGACGGGAGATGAAGCTACATTCTTCAACAGACTTGACAGCATACAGGCATCTGAACAGACAGATCTCCAAATGCATGCGGCGGGACTTACGCAACTTCAATACAGCTCGTATTGAAGAAGCGATCGAGCGGAACCAAGGCTCCAAAGTCTTTGCCAGAGATCTGTCTGCCAGAAAGAGCCACCTGTCAAAGCTGAAGACGGGATGTGGCAGCATCGTTTCCGGGACACCTGAGATTTTGAGTGAGATTGAGAGGTTCTATGGGCAGCTGTACACGTCATCGTTGGAGCCACACGCAAGTGTGAGTAACGATCCAAGAGCGTGTCTCATCCGACACTATTCCGAAGATATCCCGGACGTCAGTCTGAGCGAGATTAGAATGGCTCTCCAGCACCTTAAAAACGGTAAGGCCCCAGGCGAGGATGGAATTACAGCGGAGCTTCTGAAAGCGGGTGGAAGACCGGTACTTGAAGTCCTTCAGAAGCTCTTTAATTCCGTCCTCCATGGTGGCATTACACCGGAGGCGTGGAGCAGAAGTGCGGTGGTCTTGTTCTTCAAGAAAGGTGACAACGCTCTCTTGAAGAACTACAGACCGATTTCCCTTCTGAGCCGCGTCTACGTGCTGTTTTCGAGAGTCATTACGAATCGTCTCGCGCGCAGACTTGACGACTTCCAGCCTCCCGAACAAGCCGGTTTCCGAAAGGGCTTTAGCACCATAGACCACATACATACCCTTCGGCAAATTGTACAGAAGTCCGAAGAGTACAATTTGCCACTATGTCTGGCGTATGTGGACTATGAGAAAGCCTTTGATTCCGTCGAAATTTGGGCGGTGCTGCAGTCCCTTCAGCGGTGCCAAGTTGACTGTCGGTATATCGAAGTGTTGAAGTGCTTGTACAGTAGGGCTACGATGGCTATCCAAGTACAGAACCAGAGTACGAAACCTATCCAATTGCAGAGAGGTGTAAGACAGGGTGACGTCATATCCCCGAAACTCTTCACCGCTGCATTGGAAGGCGTTTTCAAGCTTCTGGACTGGAAAGGATACGGTATCAACATCAATGGCGAGTACATCACTCACCTTCGATTTGCCGACGATATAGTCCTTATGGCAGAATCGCTGGAGGACCTAAGCACGATGCTCAATGACCTCGATAGTGTTTCCCAACGGATAGGTCTTAAGATGAACATGGATAAAACAAAGATCATGTTCAATGTCCATGTCACACCTATGCCGGTAGTTGTTGGGAGCACTAAGCTCGAAGTTGTTGACGAGTATGTTTACCTGGGACAAATAGTCCGACTAGGTAAGTCCAACTTCGACCGAGAGGTCAATCGACGGATTCAACTCGGCTGGGCAGCGTTCGGGAAGCTACGACACATCTTCTCGTCAGACATACCTCAAAACCTGAAAACGAAATTGTACAACCAGTGCGTGTTGCCAGTGATGACTTATGGAACTGAGACGTGGTCCTTCACTGCTGGCCGTATGAGGAAGCTCAAGGTCGCTCAGCGAGCTATGGAGAGGGCTATGCTCGGAGTTTCTCTGCGTGATAAACTTAGGAATGAGGATATCCGCAGTAGAACCAGAGTAACCGACATAGCCCAACGGATTAGTAAGCTGAAGTGGCAGTGGGCCGGCCATATAGCTCGAAGAACCGACAACCGATGGGGAAGAAAGGTTCTCGAGTGGCAGCCTCGTACCGGTAGGCGAAGTGTAGGGCGTCCCCCCACGAGATGGAGTGACGACCTGGTAAGACATGCAGGAAGTCGATGGATGCAGGTGGCTCAGGACCGTGCTTTGTGGCATTCTTTGGGGGAGGCCTATGTTCAGCAGTGGACTTGTGAAGGGCTGTAATGATGATGATGATGATGAAACTGTATATTTATTTTGTATCATAACAAATAACTAAAAATGTTATAAATTACAATTTGAAAAGCTTTCCTCATATCCTTAAAGATACAATTCACAATTTCTTTACATGTGTCTCCGTGTATGAGGAGAGTATTGCAAACCATAGGTTCTAACTTTTAAATAATAATAGTTAAAATTGTCAACTGGTTTGTTTTTCAAATAATGTTTGCTCTGATGCTGCTTCAAACATGACAACTCCGTTGATCACGTATTTTATCGATAAAATAAAATAAGTATACCCCATAACCCCATATCATCCCTTGGGTGTTAAGAGGCGACAGAGGGAAATAAAAACGACATAACTCAAAATAATAGTAGTGTATATATGTAAGTATCAAGTAACACATGTGCAAACACAATTGAAATGTACTGGCAGCATAAAACATAATTAAAATGTACCGTCTGAAAAATACAAGTCCACCAAGCCAATTAGATGTGTTTTTTCTTTCTGTTACATGTCAGTGTTGAACTACACACCTGATGGTAAATGGTGATAAAACTTTGGCTTAACAAAAGCCTCGAAGACAACTAGGTATAATGTAGCTGACAATTGTGATGTACGTTAGCTGTAAGCTTGAATTTAACTATAAACATGACTAACTGTGGAGACATGGGTGAGATGTGTCCATGACCACAATTCTTTGGATACCGTGCCAGTCTAAGCATCATACAATGCAATCAAAATAAGAATAGGAACATCAGTGACTATCAGATCTCTCTTTAAAAGTACGGTTTGCAAAATAATTTTGTTTACGTAGCTTTTTCTTTTTAAAATATTCTTAGTATTTGAATCTAAGTCTAAGTATTTAAAAGAATTATTGAAGATTTAATTGGTTTTAATTAGTTTTAAAAATAATTTACGAAACTGAATACAGGGGACACACAAAGAGATTTTTGAAGAAGATGAGAACTCTATGTGTGTGTATTATATATAGAAAACTCTGTTTGTTAGTATGTTTTATCAATGTCTCAACAAAGTATAAACATCTGTGCAGAACAGGATTGTAGTGCACGAGTTTATACGCAAGAACACATTAGCACACTATAATCCTGTCTTTATTCCCGCACTTTCATAGTCCCATGGGAATCCGATCCAACCATGAAACACTACCTATTTCCTGACTACTTAGAAGTATTTGACAGAAAAACTCAATAAATGATTTTTAGACCTGACCCGGGAGCACTCGATCAGCAGTCGTGCTTACTAATATACCAAAGAGGCAGGCAAAAAAAAAAAAGAAAAAAAAGGGGCAGTCAGTATTTATTATAAACATAACATATTAATATGTTTTAAAACATATTTTTCTTTGTTTAAAATAAGTGGAATATTTGGAACATTCTATTTTAATGGGTAAAAACAGCAGTGATGATAATAACAATGACAACTACTCTGAGAATTAATGCAGAAATTAGCAGAATTGAAGAACTAGATTAAGATTGAAACCTTACAGTTTGAGATACAAGATTTATGCTTGTGGTTATTTTGTAAATAAGTATTTTATTAAGAATACCTGTTTTTCTTACCCTACCTCACCGGTTTATAATATTATCGGCTAAGACGTAACCATATGATGGGAGTCATTCCTATTTTTACTTTTATCACATCGTATGCACCAATATGTTTAGCTTCGGGGTGCAAGTGACGTCATATTTAACACATCAAAATTGCTTGGTTGGCTTGTAATTAGTTTAACAAATTGCAATAGAGCCTGAAGTAGCCTGTGCACAGCCTCCCTTTAATTAATAAGCCTTAACCATATTTACATTATTAATTTAGCATCAAAGTTTTTCGAAAGAAAATACACAACATAACCTAATAACTCAAGAAATTGTTGACGCACCATTTGATTTACAACTTCACTAAAGCACTAGATCTAAACCCTAGAACTCTATTGGTACTTCTTGCAAAACTAATTTATAACCTAAACTTTGTACACGTGTCTTTAAATCGTTGATATGGTTGATCTTTTCAGGTATGGGGTCCGTTATAATCTGATGATCGTATTCAGTTAATTCAACAATTGGGGCCGGGATATCGAAATCGACACCTACTATGTAATCATCGTCGTCAATGTTTAATTCCTCGAGACCATTACTTGCACCCTGGAGGTTATCAAACTGTATTTCTGGTCTAGCATCATCAAATGGCATTTCTGGTATGTTCATACGAATACAATTGTGTGACTGCAATAAAGAGGGCCACACAAATGTTTCTTCACAGATGTTGCACCTTAGATTGTTGTTCGGGAAATGCTGTGTCGCTTTGTGTCTTGACAGGGTGTAATTTGAAGAGTAGTATTTTCCACAGATCTGCAATAATTTAAAACAAACGATAAAACAGTTAGTCTATTTTTAAGCGCTCTTCTACTTCATAAACGCGTAAAAGTTCACAAGTCGTTTTGGTCTCTTATGCCCAGCAAATGGGAGGCAGCATAAAAGATGCTCATATCTAGGGCTGCAATTGTTGATGATTAATCTCATTTGGAAAGACTGATGTCCAGTCATAAACAGATTATCAACACTGTATATATAATCCATGAGCGGTGTGTCCTGCAATAGCAGGTCATGCATTTGACAAATAATAAGTTTAGTTTATTACCACACCCTCATATTTGTTATTGTCGGCATACAGGTACACTGCAAAGTTCCTATAAACTTATGATTGTAGGGTAATATAATGTTTATATACATATATGCAATGTGTGTAATTAGTAAATAAATAAAATAAATAGGTCAGAAGTCATAAGATCTTTTGTATTAGTGATTGTATCACTAATACAAAAGATCTTATGACTACATACCTATATAGAAATTATATATATTTATATATATTATATGTAAGAGATTACAGGTTTTAATGGTATTTACTATAGTGGTGAAGTAGGAATATAAGATAACCCTTACTGTCCCGTGGGTTTCATAAAAGGAAACAGAAGAAAACAAACCAGGAGATGGGCAGCAGTATCTTCTTAATAATAAATAACTAGAAAAATAGAAACTAGCAGGTGCTAACACGCCTGCTAAGATTGGCAACTATGACCAATATACACAATATGAGGCAGTCTATGGGGAGGCCTATATTTAACAGAGGACTTTTGGACTATAACAGTAACTGTTAAAAGCGAAAATGGACCCCAGCTATAAAAATAATACTTTACAACTTAACACACTCAGCTTTGGAAAAATCTAATAGACTGTAGAAAAGCCAGGGAGGGCCTGCCGTAAATAAACAGCCGTTTAACCAAGGTCTTAATAAGCTTGAACAAGCCACAGATGAGACTTTTTAGCTGATAGAGATAGTCCCCTGTGCAGGACACATATAGGGGAGAAGGAAAGAAGCCCACATATTGCTGGCATGTCTGGAGGTCTCTGCATATAGAGAAAAACATATCAGCATCAGCTCACGCCAGCATCACTCCCGAAGCTGCTTGTGACATCAAAGGACTATTGAACTTCTTTGTAAGATTTAATGGCTTGAATAATCATAATGTTTCTGCCGACACGCAAAATACGCGGTTAGACGTGGAGTTGCGGAAAACAGCCCATTATAAACTAAGTCCCCACTCACCATCTTCTAACTGCTAGTGTGCTAACTTATTAATAGCTAGAGATTAATGTAGCATTATTTAGACTGAAAGATCAAGGACCATTTATTTTATCAATTTCTCATTTTGTCAAAAACAAAACTAAGCCTAGATCCCTCTTGGCATTGCTTTCCATCCTATTAATATTATAATCCTACTAATCCCACCAATATTAGAAATGTGAAAGTTTGTGAGAATGTATGGATGTTTGTGACTCTTCCTAGCAAAAACTGCAGAATATATTTTAATGAAACTTTACAATAATATAGATCATACATCAGAATAACACATATAATAAAGATATTGTGTAAATTGGTCAAAATAAACAATAAGTGTTAAGTGGAAAAATCTGTCATCTGCGAGCTATTTTGGTGTGCGGTGCAAAAACTGTAAGAGTTACACAAATATAATGTATGGTGGAATAGTTTCTCTGAAATAGTTCTACAAAAAAGTCTGCACACAGCATCTTTTATGTATAAGCCATTACCAAAATAGTGAAACATAAATAAAATAAATTTTAACATTTTATTTCCAATGTGCATTTTGCAATAACAAATGGATTTTATCAAAATAATTTAATCGCTTCTGATATTCAAAGTAGATAAACTTTGTATTTTAAACTATGTAATATGGTCAAATATTTTAAAAGTAATGACTAACGGCGATATAAATTTGGGAGGTGGGGGAAAACATTGTTCATTGCCGCATGCGCAAATGTATGTCTGCACACTTAAACCGCTGAACCGATTTAAATGGAATTTGATAAAAAAGGAAATAGGATAGCTTTAATCACATAAATCATCCCTAAAGAGATTGATGGAATTTACTAAGAAAGTGCAATTATTGATGGATTCCCTATGGTTCAAAGTATAATACCTACATAGACGTAGTCACGGGCAAAAGCTAGTCTGTTCATAAATCATTATCACAATTGTTTTAATAATTCCAGAGATTAGCCATAATAGGTATTAAGTATGCAGCTATATTATGGTTGTAACACGAATGGGTCAGCTCGTCCAGGGTAGGATCATACTCTCACAGAATACCAGCGTAAAATAGCAGTTTAACACTGCTGTCTTTCGAATGGTGAGTGTAGAGAATGGGACCCTTTTTACTGGAAACGAGGCATTCCATTTTCTTAATTGAGGATAAATGTAGTATGTCTATTGGCCACAGCATTCATTTACCATCAGGTGAATGTTGTGCTCGTTTGGCATTCTAACTGCCAGTTATTTCGATATTATAGACAAACACTTCACTTTTATTTATATGTATTATTTATATATTTTACTTTTATTTATATAATGATAATAATATTTCATTTGTTTAAACACTACTTAAAAATATTAAAAATACAAACCTCACAATTAAACCTGGATAATAAAGTCTTTTTAGATTTTGGATCCACGATAGCCTTCTTAGGTGGATTCATATAGTCTATTGGTTCAATATGCACACCAACAGCTTCGTTATTACAAGGTTGTGGACTTGTTGAGGGTGCAGGGTTAGTAAGTAAGGTTTTTAATTGACTTTCAATGAACATATTCTGGTCCACACCATTGATTTGCACGGTTTCAGGCAAATTCGTCTTAGAACTCGACCCTTGTTCTAATGACATTTTGTTAGTTGTGTCAACTGTCTTATCTACAGCTATCGGTGGAGTTGTATTAGGCACATTCGGATTAATATTACTTTCCTTTTCTGTAACCGAATCTTTAACTGTGAGATTTTCCCTTAATTGAGAATTGTCACTTGTTTTTAAGAAGTGTGACCACTTGTGTTGCAGCATATCAGCTTCCTTATCAAACTTCTTCAAACACTGATCACAAAAGTAAAAATCTTTGTAACCTGTCATCGCACGGTTGCTTAAATCAGGCAGAATGTTTACATGCGATTCTATCAAGTCCTTCTCAACAGAACTCTCCTCACAGAAGTTACACAGGTAAAGTCTATCGCTTCCCAGGTTACGAATGATATATAATGCTTCTGGACGCTTGTCCGAATGTAAAAATGAGATGTGGTGTGCTATGGCACATTTAGTTTCAAACTGATCTTTACATATATCACAAACAAAACAGCTGCTGATGTGTTCGTAGCTATGGTCCTTTAAATCCATAAATTGGAAGTAATTCTCCTTGCATGTCTTACAATTGTACATTTTAACACTACGACATAATATGTTATGTTTATGTTCTATAAATTGAGCCTTATTAGGTAGCAACAGACCACAAGAATCACAATGCAATTTAATGTGATTTTTGAAGAGTATTCTGTCAACAAACTTATTAGAGCAGTAGTTACAAATGTAAAATCTACGTTTCTTATGCTTTAGCTTTATATGCTTCTTTAAATGTTTATAGTCTGTGAATATTTTTGGGCATTTCTTGCATCTATGATACTCCTGAACTTCATGCACAATTATATGATCAGAGAAACTCACCCGCTTCTGTGGCTGGGGTTTTTCAACCCTATCATGTTTCTTTGCCTGATGATTTTGCAATCGTTTTACACTTTTGTATATTTTACTGCAGAAACTGCAATTATAATATATAATCCCACACTTATTAGCACTTGAATTCTTAGAGTTATTACTTGCAATTTTGCTTATTTCATACTTCAACTTTTCTAAATCATCACGCACTAAAACCACTGAACATAATTTAAATAACTTATTCAAGTCTGGCTTGATGGATCCATTACCAGCCCTTGAAGCGACTCCGTGTTTATAACTCAATCGACTATTATTTAGGAAAGGTGTAATATTTAATCGGTCCAGTACAACAACGGGTTGCTTTCTGAAACCTCTAAAAATCTTTTCATTCGAGAAAATTTCTTCCTGGATTTCCAGCGCCATTGCTTGTTCTCCCGCCACAAAGGTTTCCAGTGATTGGGGCAAATGGGCTTTAGCTTCATTTTCATGCGACATAGGAATACAATTAAGTGTAAAATACAAGATCAAATAATATAAACAAAATTAACTTAATTTAATGGTTAATAACGTCAACAATTAAACACATACAATTTCAGGATTTATCCATCCAGTACCATAGATAAATAAATATGTAGCAATAGCAAGTAGGCGTGTGTATCTCTTTACGGAAACGACTCACTGATCACTGATTCGAATCACTGAAGTGTCACAAAAGATTGGTTCAGTAACAACGTTTCAAATGTATCATTTGGATCTGGAACAGTGAAACATTACTTTGCTCTTTGCTCATTTCGCGCGAAGCGTCGCTTGCGAGGCGACTGAGCCACGAGCGAGAGAGACAGACTGAGACAATGATTAACTTAACTATTGATACTCGAGTGGCGAGTGAGTGGGCGAAATAATTATAACCCACACAAGTCAGATAGAGATAACAAATAAGAAGTGTATCACTCAACTCGTACGGATTTTCGCTGACGTTATTCATGCACGTAAAAATTAACACTAAGGCGCTTATGTGTCAAATACTATACGGTCGTTTTTTGTATGTAATGTTTGCATTAACAAGTTGTCATTTTACGTTGATGCGGCAATTGTCAAATTGTTTATATTCATTAGCGCCTGTTTACGAAAACATACTGAGTTATGTTTAGGATTTCTTTGCGTAGTGATTATTGTGACTTTACTTTCTTCCTTTTCATCATAAAGTTTAGAGTTATGATACTTTGCGAGAAAATTCTGTGTACATTGACATTGCTGTTTTGTGTAAATGGACATTTTTGTAAATAATGAATTGACATAGTGGCATTTTTGTTAAAGTATGAAGGAGAATAGATTTTATATACAATCTTATTACGGTACACAATAAATAATCTAAGCACTTATATTATTCAGCATTGCTGTCACATAACATTTCACGGATCAGTCAGTAATAAACGCCCGCGACGCAACTTACTGTATTCGGAACATTCTTTCTTTTATATCTTTTTAGTCGATGATATAAATGAGCCAAATGAAACATATCAGTGTTTCGGAACATTTCAGTGATTAAGATGCAAATGTTCCGATCCCAAAAATGATACACTTTGCCCACCTCCAGTAGCAAGCTATCCAGTACAAAGTTATGGTCTGTGGCATCCATAGATATAAGTTTTTCTTATATTAATGGTGGCATCCAGTCTCAGTGTGGCCACCTTGCAGAAAAATTTATCACTAGTTATGGTCTGAAATTTCACCAGATTTAGGTATATTTTTACTTAAATAAATCCCTAGAATTCACCAAATTATTTAAAATCAAATCACATGGTATGTAATAAAAATACTATTTTAATTGTGGAAATAATTACAGTAAATACAACATAATATAAAATCGAGACGGCCTCCTGGTCACAATTTCTTCAACGGACAGCCTACTAGTATTTTATTTTTTTATTTATCACATTTATTTATTAAAAAAAAAACGTTACCCCCACACTAGGATTTTCTCTTGTGTCGTGGAGGCAGTTTACAAACATAGATTGCACAAGGACAAACATCCAGACCCTGAACAATTATTTGTAGGACATACAAATACTTGTTCCGTGCGGGATTACGAGATGTATCACAAGAGTGCAATATTTTTAAACTATTCTTGCCACAATTTACTGTCTCATATATATATTTGTACTCATCACAGCGTTTGGGTGAACGTGAGAACTAATTATAAGTTTCTCTAATGAGAAACTCTATATTTCGCGATAACGTTTGCTCTGACACATATGAAACAGTGTGAATGAGTGCACCAGAGTGCACAAAGAGTATAATAAGTATATACAGGAAAAGAGAGCCCTCTGACGATATTTTATTGCAGACAAAATTGAACTACTCCTTGAACGTCTCCTACAAATTGAATCCGAACTAATTCGCTATATATAGCTATATTATGTACATCATATTAATGTAACTATTATGTTCTTTAATTCGCATACTTACTGAAACAATTTTTACTTTTTTTGTAAAATAATTTATACTTTTAATATTAAAAGTAGGTAAATAGTTTCAATAAGTACACTTGTATTTGTGAGATAATAATATATAAAAAGGGTATTTGCGATGTTACAGGAATGACAATTTAATATGACAATTATTTCATTTTTTATTTTTATATTTTATTATAAAATGCTGGTTGCCAGTATCATAATTGTCATATTTATCGATTAATTCGATAATTATTACGTGTTTTTATGTTAAAATTATAATTTTTTATCAATAAAATCACCAATAATTTTTTGGTGCACTTATTTTTATTTTGTAAGTAAATTTCATTTTATTTTTCCAAAGTAGCGACATCTGTGAAGCCATAAGACCAATTATAAACAAATTATTTTTGGAAACAAGTTATGGATGGCGCCACCATCCATTGAATTTTTGTGGTTCAAGGCAACTGTCCTACGCCTGAGAGTGCACGAGTGGCAAACACATCAATTTTTAATTGTCTCGAACCACAAACTCGTAAAAATACTTTAAAGTGTAAGCTATTCCAAAAATACCAAACTTTATGCGTACTTCATGGACTAGGTGGAACAGGTATTTAGATCGATTATTTGTATGGAATTGGATTAAGTATACCTTGTACATAATTTACCTATGTTTATATATAGATATATTTTTTTATAGTACGACTCATCTCTAGTACACTGCTTCACAATATGTTGATGCGTCACATTGCGTAGTTTTTGGGAAATTTTAACGGCAAATTGAGTCAGCAGACAGTTGGCATTAGTATCTCAAGGCGCTTAAGCAGACAGGCACCTTATCTTGAGATTTGCATCACCATCGGACCACTAATAGTTCACATGTGCAGACATTTAATACCCAAAATCGCACCACTTTTACATATCATAATCCATTTTAAACCATTATTTAAACCATAATGCCCCCCCCCCCCTACCCCAGCCTACGAATTTTGAGTATATATATATAAATATACATACACTCAAAATTCGTATATATATATAATACTAACAGACGGATTTCAAATAGCACATCTGAAAAATATTAATTATTTAAACTGCACCCATGTAGTTTGGAAATAAAAAATAGTTAAATTCGTTCACCTTAGAACGTCGATATTACTTCAAATAAATAAAAGAATTCGGTACTTTTTAACTGTAACTGCACCTTGCTTGAATATAATTGCACCATCGTTAAAAATGCATTATTTGCAACTATAAGCTCAAAAATATACTCATACCAAATTTGTTGAATGTCGATTTGGTGATTTTTTTAACAAATTTGGTTTTATCAACTTTTTGCGTTTAATATTATCGATAAAAAGGCGTCTATTACTTCAGTCCCATACGTTCAGCATGTAATATGCTCTAAGCGATATTTATTACTGTTTTAGTAATAAATATGAGGCAAAACAGTAATTACTTACTGTTTTGCCTCATGGTGTGAAAATAGGGGGTGGTATTTTTTACGCCGCTACCACACGGCGAGGAGCCGAGTCTGGTCTTTCGGGTTTGTCGCATGTTTAGCACCACCCGAGAGACACGTGTAGAGTGAGCCTAGCATTAGGTGGTCGAATCCTACGGACGAGAGCGACTCATCCCCCAACCAACCATTAGCAGGGATGGTAGATATGATAAGGATATAGAACGACGAGTGAACGCAGGAAATAGGGTGAATGGGGCGCTACACTCTATTGTAAGAAGTTAGAATGTGTCTAAAAAGGCACGTATGGCAATTCACAATGCTGTGTTAGTCCCTACTTTAATGTATGGTAGTGAAAGTTGGGTGTGGCAGAAGAAGCACGAGAGTAAAATAAATCCTGTAGAAATGCGGTCATTAAGGAGTATGTTAGGGATAATTCTGAATGACAGAGTGAGAAATTGTTTGATAAGAGAAGAGTGTGGTTTGCAAGATGATGTTGTGATCAGGATTAAGAAAAGAATACTTCGGTGGTTTGGTCATGTAGAAAGAATGAATGAGGAAAGAGTGACAAAGCAAATTTATGTTGCAGGGGTGAACGACAGAGTCGGGAAGGGACGCCCTAGGCGAAAGTTTATCGATCAAATTAGCGATATATTGAAAATGGGCCAAATCAAGAGTACCTTTAACCGAAGAGCGTGTATGCGTAGGTATATGGATGTGAATGAAGCGAGAGATGTGTGTCAGGATCGTGCCAAATGGAAGTCCATAGTCTCTGCCTACCCCTCTGGGTGACAGGCGTGAGTGTTTATATATTATATAAATATGCTTTACTTATTAAATAAATATAATTGCTTTTAGAATTAATGGATAATTATCAATATAACAATCACCACTTTCACCATTTTCGTTACTCACTTCATTCTTTCTTCGTTCTTTATCTTTAAATAAAATGGCAATATTATGACTTGTTTAGTTACTGGGACCTTGAAGTTGTTCATAGGAAAATACATTTTTACGTGTCTTCATGAACATCTATTCCATCAATCGCCATGCAGCAACCATTTGGTTCATTTATTGCGTGCTGTCGTTCAAAAATATATTGATATTAGGATAAAATATATTCATATATGTGGTAGAGCCACGCCGCAGCTATATTATGATTGTAGCACGAATGGGTCGGCTCGATCGGGGTAGGACCACGCTCTCACAGAACACAGAATACTAGCTTAAAATAGCTTATCCGTGTAAGATCGGACGCGAACGCGAAGCAACAGCAAACTGCTCCCACTGCGTTGGGCGGAACCAGCACTGCGCGTCCCACACGCTTGCGGTTTGTCCGGCGTGGGAACGAGAGCGGACGATCCTGGCAAGCCAGGTCGGTGGGAACCTCTCCCTGTCAGCAGTCGTGTCGGCGATGCTGAGCGGGGACGGCATGGAGGGCCGTAGCCACATTCTGTGAGTCGGTAATAGTCCAAAAGGAGGCTGCTGAGCGGGATCGTAAAAGGACAATTCCCACTCGGAAACGAGGTCAATAAGGTGTTCGTCACGGCCCTCCCCTTGAAGATGGTGTTCCCCACCAGAAACGGGGCTTCTGGGGTTGCAGAGGCGGGGGCCTCGAATGCCTAGTAATGTAATCCCCGAGGAGGCTCGGAAGTGGTCCCGAGACATAGCGAGTGCACTGCGAGGGTGCTGGGGTCAGTAAGAA